GTGATTTTCAAAATCAATTGGGGTGTGTATAAAAGGACACAGAATATAATCATAATTGCTTCACTGCAATGAATACCCAGTTGAGACTGTGTAATGTAAAAATGTACTGGACCCAGTCAGCATGGTTTCATGATTTCCTCCAGCTTCATTCAGCAGTGTAGGAATAAGAGTGAAGGTAGTGGATGATGGCAGTAATACAAGACTGGCACACATCAGGGCAACATTATCAACAGGGAGCAAAGGACTCAAAACATTGTAGAGTGGAACTGATTGATGATGAAGTCAAGATGGGGGAAAAAGGGTAGTATATCCCATGCAGGGTATGCATGACCTTGGAAGGAACCAAGGCTGTAGGGATTTCAGGTCGTAGTCAAGATGAAAAACAGAAGTTGCAAAGCAGAAGGTGTAGAATCACAGTAATTGTTATCAGATAATGGAATTTCTAAGTTTATGAACATAGGAATGGAACATTTTTGAGGGATGGCAAGGTGAATGCTATGACCTCTGTGGGTAGCTGAAGTGAGATGAAGGCCCCTGGAAATGAGTAAGTAGGATCTTTTAAAGTATTTCAACATGTTTGCTGAAGTCACCTAGTATGAGGGCAGTAGGACAGAAAAGAGAGAATTCATTGAGAAAAGAGTATATCCTGGAGGTTGGGAGATAGCACATATTAGAATCTTGATCGGAGGTGGAGGTAAATATATGTTGATGAACCTTCAAAGGAACTTTCAAATTCTCCAAAGTAAGAGAGTTTGCTAAGTAATAGAAGGAGAGGGAGAAGCTGGAAGCAGCAATGGGTAACAAAGAGCATTCCAACTACCCCAATTCAACCAAATACACCAAAGAAAGAGAAAGAAATCCCACATGTTTATAAGTATGTAGGGAAGCTCTTTTAGTCATATTCAAGTTCTTAAACATAGGAAAATTATAATAAATTGGTAAAATACCAAACAAATTTGCTGAACAAATGGTATTTAAATGCATTGGTGTCAAGAGAACAAATGAGAAGATAATGCAGAAGGAAGTTAAGATGTTCAATTAGGGGCAGAAACCCAGTTGAACAGAGTACAGATCAAGATAGTGGTGACCATACCTATCCCCAGATTATACCACCATAGAAGCACCAGAAACTTGCAGATCCCCCAAAATTAGCTCTTAAAACAGCAGTATAAAAGGCCAGAAGCTTAGGACATTGCCTCCCCACCCCAAGATGAGTAGAGTCCAACTTCAACATAAAGTTCAAATTTTAAAAATAGACTAAAAATGACAAAATGACAAAAAAGAACTCGATCATAAAAAGTGACTATGATGGCAGAAATAAATTCAAAATAAGACAACAATGTAAAAAACTACAAAGACTCAAGAAAATGCTAATTGGACACACTCTTAACAAGAATTCCTGAAAGAGTTACATAAATAGATGACTGGTAGAGGAAAAACTGGGAAAAGAAATGAGAACTGTAAGGGAAAATTATGAAAAGAGAATTAACAGCTTGAAAAAAAAAAAAAGGCACCAAAAATACCAAGGGAAATAACACCTTAAAAAAGGAGGATTGGCCAAATGTAAGCAATGACTCCATGAGACAGCAAATAACAATATAATAAAGTAAAAGAATGAATGACTTGGATAATAGCTCAAAGAGAGATATTTTAAGAATTATTAGACTACCTGAAAGCCATGATCAAGGAAAAGCCTAGACATCATATTTCATAGAATTATCAAGGAAAACTGTCCTGATATGTTAGATCCAAAGGGTAAAATAAAAATGGAAATAATTCACCAATCACCTCTTAAAAGAGATCACAAAATGGAAACTCCCAGGAAGAGTATGGCCAAATTCTGGAGCTCCCAGGTCAAAGAGAAAAACTTCAAGCAGTCAGAAAGAAATAATTTAAATATCATGGAACCACAGTCAAGATCACGTAAAATTTAGTGTCTTCCATGTTAAAGAAGTGCAGGGCTTGTAATATGATATTTCAGAGGGCAAAGGAGCTAGGATTACTGCCAAGAACAATCTACCCAGCAAAACTCAGAATAATCCCTCTGGGGAAAAATGGTTATTAAATGAAATAGGGGATTTTTAAAGCATTCCTGATGAAAAGATAAGAGTTGAATAGAAAATCTGGTATTCAAACACAGGATTCAAGAGAAGCATAAAAAAGCAAATATGAAAGAGTAATCGATGATACGTAAAACTCCTAAAAACTTTCTCATTTGAGGGCAGTTAAATGGAGTTTACATTAATATAGAGCATGGATATGAGTCAATTATGTTGTAATAATCTCCGAAAAAATTAAAGGAATGAGAAAAAAGGATGCATTAGTGGAAAGGAGAAGTAAAATGGGGAAATTTTTCTCATATAAAAGAGGTATATGAGGAAGCACTTTTACAATTAAGGGGAAAATGGGGGCAGAGGTGTCGGGAAATGTTTACACCTCACTCTCATTTGAATTGGTTCAAAGAGGGAAGAATAAATACAGACACAGTCATTTGAGAATAGAAACAGAACCTATATGTAAAAAATTGTAAGAACTCTTTTTGTTTTGGCAAAGAATTATAAATTGAGAGGATGCTCAACATTCAAGAATGACTAAACAAGTTCTGGCACGTAATTGTGATAGAGCACTCTTGTGCTCTAGTAAATGGTGAAGGGGATGGTTTCAGAAAAACAATGCAAGCGTTATAGGAACTCATGCAAACCGAAGTGAGAAGAACCAGGAAATTATTGTGCACATTAATATCAATGGTGTTATGGTGATCAACTATGAATGACTTGGCTACTTTAATCAATGCTGTGATCCAAGGCAATTCCAAAGGACTCATGATGAAAAAATGTTGTCCATCTCTGGAGAGAGAACTGATGAAGTCTGAGTGAAAATTGTAGTATAATTTCCTCACTTCATTTTTTTTTTGTAACATGGCTAATATGTAAATCTGTTTTGAATGTCTTCACATGTATAACTCATATCATATTGCTTGCTTTCTCAGTGGGTGGGGGAGGGGTGAAAAAGGGAGAGAATTGGAACTCAAAGTTTAAAAAGAAAAGAATGTTAAAAACAATAAATTAAAATGTTGAAAATAACATAAGAAGCAGGAAAAATAAATGCATTGGGATATCATTGCTCAATAACAAATAATGAAAGAGTTGGCTTCAGAGAAACCTGTGAAGATTTGTAAGAACTGATAGCAAAGGAAGTAAACACAACCAGAAGAAAATTTTATACAATAAAAACATTGTATATAAAAGTAGCTTTGAAAGCCATAAGACAGTGGAACTATGGTTGCAGAAGATGTTAATAAACTTTGAGAAAGTAACACATTTTAGACTGAATTGTACATGCATGCACTTCAATAATTCCATTGGGATATTTCTGTACTTCTAAAAGTTCTCTACATTGTCCTTCATTAAGTTTGCTTTAAATTTTTCAAATTTAGCACTAACCGTTCATCAGTCTTTAATATTCATCATGCATTTAGGGTAGAAATAAGGAAAGTTCTTTCCTATCTCTCCCTGTCTAAGCCTAAGTAGTTTTTGTTTTCTTAGGGAAGCATTTGAGATTATACATAGCAAAGCTTTACTTTTCCTGTAGGAATTAAGGTTGAATTATGTTATTTCTTCTATTTGTTGTGGCCCGGAAGACATACTACAGTGTTTGATCTTTGAAATTAAAGCTAAAGAAGATTTTAAGAGGAATAATCTTCTCTATGACCTCATGCATTTATATTGTCATGTTTCCATTTAATAGTGCTATAGAGAGAGAAAATATGTATTTGCAAGCTTAATTTTTAGTGAGTGGGTCATTTTATTAAGGTGCCCTTCCTTCCCACTCTCCACAATTAAAAGACACTGTCATCATTGCTCTGCCAAATTGTCACTTTCCACACCATGCTCAGTAATTCTCTTATTGAAAGAATTATAATTTGGAACAGACAAATGATAATTATATGCACAGGCAACATATAGCTTGAGGATTAAACACAGATAATGTTATGTAGTGCTTAGACAATAAACTAGTACTGAAAACATATGGGTTTTAGTTCCAGCTCTTTCATCAATCACTTGTAAGACTTCAGTGAAGCTGTTTCATCCCCCTGATCTTCAAGGACTTTCTGTGGATAATGGGGAAGTAGGTTTGTACAATCTCTAATATCCCTTCATGAGATAGAAATTAGGTCACACTGATTTAGTTCTTGCCATACAACAAAGGGGGCAGCTAGGTGATACACTGGGTGGAGCACTGGACCTGCAGTCAGGAAGATCTGAGTTCAAATTCAAGCTCAGATAATTACTAGCTGTGTGACCCTGGGCAAGGCACTTAACCTTGTTTGCCTCAATTTCCTCATCTAAAAGTGAGCTGGAGAAGAAAACGGCCAACTATTCTAGTATCTTTTCCAAGAAACCCCAAATAAGGTCACAAAGAATTAGATACAATGGAAAAGACTGAACAATAAATACAAAATACAATAAAGGGGATGGGAAGTGTGGTACTAAAGGGTAGACCCACCCTCTTCCGTGTATAGGTTTTCAAAATTGTATCAATGATGTCATAAGTGTAGGAATTTCTAGGAAAGACACAACTTTTACTAATTCAGGTTAGCAACTTCTCTGAAATTTATAGTCGCTGAGAGTAGCTCAGAGTACTGTGAACTGAAGAGACTTGGTCAGGGTCACACAGGCACTATGTGAAAGAGATAGCTTTTAAAATTTAGGCCTCCCTGGGGGGCAGTTAGGTGGCACAGTGGATAGAGCACCAGCACTGAAGTCAGGAGGACCTGAGTTCAAATCCAGCCTCAGACCAAACACTTAACACCTCCTAGCTGTGTGACCCTGGGCATGTCACTTAACCCCAATTGCCTAAAAATAAATAAAAATAAAAATTTAAAAAATAAAATAAAATTTAGGCCTCCCAACTCTAAGGTCCATTCTCTATCCACTGCACTATGCTGCCTTTCAGGGGTCTGATGAAGCCTCAGAAGGTTCAGGGTCAATGTTACCCACCTGTGGATACTTGTAGAGCTCCAGGAGGGTCCCCATCTGGACAGACAGAGTTGATGTGGCTCCTCCAATAACAGCCACAGACTTGTCCTGCTCCCAGCAGTTGTAGTTAGGGGTGATCTGGCCCTGCCCAGACAGCCACCTCAGGGAGCTCTCCAAGGTCCTCTCATCACTGTGGTAGGCGTTGTAGAGGTGGAATCCCAGGGTAAGGTTGGGCAACAGGTTAGGGTTCATGTTGATCTCCTCCACAGCAAACATTAGGGCCAGGGCTTGTTGGTAATTTTTGTATAACCACCTACAGGGAGAGAGTCAGAAAAAGCCTGTAAGAAGAATTAATTTGAGGAATAAGGATATTCCAGCCACGTGAAGGTCAAATCTGAGGGCTCTGGTTCATTTTGAGTGTGTTAATAGTAGCCTTCCTTGCTCCTTCACTTATCCTCTCTTTAGGTTGGAATGTTGGGGACTATTTGCTTTGAGTTACTGGTATCATTCTGCCTTCCAGAGTCACTAACTCATTCATTCATTTAAACAAATATGTATGGAATGCCTACCATTTCAGAATCATAGGGTTTAAGATTTTGAAAACCATCTAATCAGATTCATTCTCAAAAAAAAAAAATTCTCACTATAACATTACCTGTAAGGAATATAGTAGCCTTCCCTAAGAGGTAAATGAAGAAATCCTAGAATGTTCAAAAATAAACAAAACCCTCAGTCATCCTGTAGGAGTAAGACCAGAAGTGACTGCCAATAACCAAGTTCTCTTCTGGAATCTGTGTTTGAATATAAATTCACTCACAATTTGCCCCTGCCCTCACCAGGCTTTAGTCAGCACCTGTCATGCACCTCACAAGTATGAGCTTCCGTAGTCCCCGCTCCCAAAGACTGATCCAGCTTGTCCCTGATAAGAACCCTATGTAACTCTACCCTTCTTCACACTATTCAAACACCTAACATTATCTGAGACACCAGAAGAATGAAGTATGTATGTCCTCCCTGCCCACCCTGCATCTTTGTGAAAATCTCCCTGACCCCACACAAATCCTCCTTTCTATAGTCTCTATTTCTGCTTCCTTTTTGTTCTGTCCAATCCTGCTGTGCCTTCTAGGAATGCCAGTCCTTGTAGATTTCTCTTCTTAGAAGCATGTGTGACTAGAAATTCAGTATCTGTATTTCTTCCCCAAGTTTTCTGACTTACGGAAAATGGAAAACAAAGGATGAACTGGGAACATGGTACCTCAGTGCCACTGGCCCTCTCCTTTTCTTTGACACCATGGCTGAGTTAGGCATCTGATTAACATGGCTTTATCCCAGCAATATAAGTGGGAGGTAAGGATTCTGCTACCTTTCCTGCTTGATATTCTGAATGTTCCTGATTCTGTATTAGGACAATACCCAACAAGAGTATGTACCCATCAGTTACCAAAACATCCCCTGTCCCCAACAAGCAGAGGATACAGCTAAGGGAAACATGATTGGTCCACAAACCTGTCATACAAATATTTGGCCTGTGACTGATATGGACAGAATTAAGAATGCTGAGCAGGGGGAGGCACCTTCCCCATGGAGGAATACTTCATGAAGTAGATCATAATCTTGAAAGGAGAAGAATTTTCATAGGTGGAGATAAGGATCTCCTGGAGAGAGAAATTAGTGTACAAAGGCACAGAAACATGTTTAAGAGAGAAGAAGCACTCCAAGTTTGTACCCGCAGAATGTACTAGTAGGCGTTGTCTAAGTGTGTTCAGGTCAAGATCAGGAGTGATCATTCAGACCTGTCATTCTCTTTCCTCACCTTTTCCCTTCCACGGTAGGGACTGAGAAAAACAAAAAAAAAAGAATAGTTAATTACTATCAAGAATTTAATCTAACAGCCCCAAACTAATGGTCAAACAGACCTTATGTTAATGATGATATGTTCAAAAATATTTATAAGCCAGAAATATTTCTCCAGCAACTCATCTTTAAGGTAATTCAGATTTGTATTCTGGTAGGTGACAGAGGAAAATAAGAAAATCATAAGGCCTTCTCATTCACTCTGTCCTTAACATCCAAGCTGACTCTCCCTCCATTCACTGCCCATTTTCTGAGAATATGAAACACTATGTACATTCTTTCTTCATTCACACTTGGTACAATTAGAATCAGGAACAAATGAACCAATGTCTTCATCCACACGAACAACCACTGTTCTCAAGGAAAAGTCTGACAACTGCTATGAGTGACAAAAATAGAAATCTGACCTTTTTGTCCAATGCTACACATAGGGTGGGAGCTGTTTACGTATCCCTTGCCAACTATTATCCACTTGGCCTAGGTGCTGAACAATAATGGAATAGAAAAGAATTGAGAATATCTTGAAGTATTTGAGAAATATAAGCAAATATTAAAACATATCCTTCTTTTAGAGCAAAGGAGATAAAAATAGAGAGGAAGGAAAAGAAAAGCACAAAGATAATGCAAAATACAGAAAGAACACAAAAGCAATAGAGATGCACAGACACAGCAACACACAGAAGAGGTCAAAATTGCCATTTTCCATGTCCCCATCTTTCATCTCCCAAAACTATTGCTTCCAGTCTCTTGTGACACCTGTGGCTTGCCAGTAGCTTCACATTGAAATTGGTCAGGGATATGACTGGAGTGAAAGTGTGTGTGTGTGTGTGTGTGTACCTAAATCCAATTTCTATAGTAAAGATTCTTATTGTTTATATTTGAGATTGCATTACTGCATGCTGGACTCTTGTATTTACTGGAGCTGTTTACAACATGTGCAAAGCTAAAACAAAGCTTCAGATCTCTTCACTGCCTCAAGATCAGTGAGAGAAGGGACAGACAAGCAGACACAAATGCAATACAAAGACACAGAGACAGAAGGAGACCAAAGACAAAATCCTTTCACTTGTTATCACTAGAAGAAAATCAGATGAATGGAAACTGACCATGAGCAAGAAAAGTCAGAAAAGAGAGGCTAGAAGAGACCCTCAGATCAGCAGGTAAGGGCCCACCTTCCTGCAACTCTGTAATCATTAGCCTCCTCAGAGGCGCAGGCAGGCTGACACTTATATTCCCAGTCCTTGTCAGGTTTACTTCCAAAGAGTTCGCTCCTGTGACACTGCTCACTTCAACTGAATACATGGGGAGAAAAGTCCCAATGACAACATACCCATTTCTGACAAGGCTGGGGCTGATTTGGGGGCAGCAGAGTGGCTTCTTGTTCATTCTCAGAGGCTAAAAGCTTCAGCATCAGTGACAGGAGCAGGACAGAAAACAAGAGAGAGATCATTCTCTGAACAAGAAGCCCCATGTCCCTGAACATTAGATAAAGTCCCAAGCCTGGTAGAAGATTAAAAAAAACCTGTCAGAAATAGAGCAAAGTCAAACATATGAGTCTTGGTCTGAATCTGCAATGTCTTGTTCTGGTGCAGGTGGTCAGCTCTAGTCCTCCCTCCACACCAGGGGAAACACAAAGGGACATTAGCTGTGCCAACATCCAGGACAAAGACAGTGATGTAAGACCAAAGGGGTGATTATAAGTCTTCTCTGACCCCTCCATTCCACTCTGTCTCTCAGTGACCTTGTGGTTAGTCATTGACAATTGTGTCCACAGAGACATGCAGATCCCTGAGGAGTTCTAGAGACCATGCTGGCCTCAGGCATCTCCAGCTATGTCTCCATATTGATAGTAAAAACACAAGTGGAAAAATATGTTTTGGAATCTGTCTCCTTGTTATCAAAAACATTAGTGGACAAAAGCCATCATTGAGGAGTCTGTGTGTCCCTCTGTTACCTAAGGGACTGCAGAATCCTGCAGCTGGCATCAGGTAGAGTTTGATGTGAACAGACAAGATAATGCATGTTTCAGACAGGGAAGCTAAGCTGAGTTCCAGGACTTATTGCTGTGATTCTGACTTCTGAGCCAGAATCCACCTTGTCCTTGGATGAACTCACAGGTCCAGGCTTTCCACAGGATTGGGACCTTAGAATCAGAGAAGCTTAAGGAACAAATGTGGGGCATCAGGGAATCCAACTGGTGCTTGAAAAGAATCACCATCTACAATTCCTAGCTTTACTGATCCCCATAACCTTATGTTATGCCATATTGACGTGCTCTGGGAATGCATATTTTTCTCCAAAATCCTAGGATCATGTGATTTAGAACCGGAAAGAACCTTAAAAATAAAGTTTAATTCAACACATGCTTTTTACAGATAAGACATCTAAAGTAAAATGGCTTGCCTAAGGCCATCTTGTTAATAAGTAGCTCAGTACACTAGCATTTAGATAGTGCTTTGAGGTTTATGAAACCTTTTACAGTTGTTATCTAATTTTATTCTCACAACAACCCTGTGAAAGAGTTGCTATTATTGTCACCATCTTACTAAGGAGAAAACAGGATAGAGAGAGGTTCAGTGCCTTGCATAGGATTGCATAGTTAGTAAATATCTGAGGAAGGATTCGAACTCAGGGCTTCCTGCCCCAAATCTGATATTATCCATTACATTATTGTTGTGTCTAGAGAAAAGCATATTTCACCTTCAAAAATAATTGTTCTTTGAATCTATATCCCTTTACGTCTTGTATGAAGGGAGAGGGGGGAGGGAAATTCACTGTTTAAAACACAGCAAAACTCAATGAAAGGCTGTTGTTGGCTTACAGAGAAGGGGAATCTATGTGAAGAAAGAGGGCCTTGGACAGAGGTGTAATGATTGGGACCTTGAAAGTTTGGTGGGCCAGGCCCAGGAGAGTGGAAACTGAACGCATCAGCAAAAGAGGCTAGCAGAAGGAGGCATGCCCTCCCTGGATATTGGAACCCTGAGAAAAGCTTAGGTCACTGCGCCATTATTAGACTTCAACCAAATTCAATGAAACACGCACACACACACACACACACACACACACACCTTTAATAGCTAGGTGGTACAGTGGACAGAACACTGGGCCTACTGTCAGGAAGACCAGACTTTAAATCCTACTGCACAAACACTAACCACGTGACCTGGACAGCCTAGCAGAGCCTTGCTAGAAAATCATATTTTTTCCTTGTCAATGGGTGGGGGACTGGTGGAAGGAGGGAGAGATTTTGAAACTGAAAATAAAAATAAGATCTAAAAATATAATCAACTTTCTGGTACAAAAATGATTACATTCAGATGCAAGAATTTCAGTTCATGAATGAGTGGAGCACGTGTGGATGTTACAAAGACCAAGGGCAGGTGAGGTGGAGTCGAGGAATAGATCATGTGAACTGAGGAGCTGAGAAGTCATGGCATTGGAGGGAATATCCGTAGTTAC